ACATTTTTTTTTCTGTTCATTTGGATGTTTCTTGAAAAGCAATGGAACAAATGCTGGTGGAGATGGACCAGTTGAAGTGCAAGGTGGAGTCCTACAACGCAACTCCAACAACAGTGAGCCCCAATCCATTGGAGCTGCTGGCACACGCCAGCACATCCCCCACCACAGCAAAGGAGCTTCAGCTCCAGGTGGCACTGTCCACTGCAATGGACCAGCTGAAGAGGGTCATGGGCACAGCCTGCCGTGGGTCCAAAGACCTCCCCGAGCTGGCTGACGCCATCTCCAGCTTCGCCCAAGTCTACAACGCAGCCAACCACCTGCCCCACTTCCCCCCGGCCCAGCGCGACCGGCTGGTCACCGCTGCAGAGTGGGTGATCAAGTCAGGCGACCCGTCACACGAGGGCGCGAGTGTGGTGTGGGCCGGGCTCCACTTCTACGAGGGCTGGGCGTTGGCCTACCTCCAGCAGTGCTTCCCCAAGTCACCATTCTTTTTCAGGGTGGAGAGGCTTGCCCTCTACAACCTGCCAAAGAGGCTCAGCAAAGCAATCACCATTGGCCAACAAATCACCATCACCAATCCCTACATGCGCATGGCCAAGGACAGTAAGCCCATGATTCATGTGGACAACCCCATGAGCATCCAACTCCTTGAGAAGGTCTCCATCTGCCATTTCTGCTCCAAGCAGGTGTTGTGCTGTGGCAAGTGTCGACCTTCGCAGTGCCCTCTACTGCAGGTATGTGATGTGTCATACACACACCATTCACGCCAGGCTGACCAAAAATTGGTACAAATCTCTGGGCTGCACACTCAGCAAGCAATGCCAGGTCAGCGACTGGAAAGAGCTCAACCACAAGGCGGTCTGCTTCGCGGAGTAACAACAGTTCTGTGTCACGCTGGCTGCACCTCCATGATGGCGGTTAAGAACAACGTTCAATCAGATGTCTCTCATGCAGCTTTTCGAAAAGAAAACTGAACGTGTTCGTGGAGTGCAGACACACCAAAAGCGGTCTCTACTTCTTGGAGAGGTAGATGACGTCCTCATCGAGCAGCCGGTGCTTGAGACCGACCCTCTGCGGCGTGTGCTTGGCCGAGGCGCCCCACACGAGCGCGTACTTGAACTGGTCCACCAGATCCCTGTATGAGTAGCGTCATCAGTTCGCTGGCCTCGCCATGCACCGCACGACACACACACACACACACGACACACACACGACACACGACACACGCATGACACAGAAGAGGATGTACTTGTGGATGAGCCTGCAGACATCTTCCACGGTGGCTCCGGTACGCATGACGATGGGCTCAGAGAAATCGGGCGGCACTGAATAATAATAATAAACAATGTGAGTATACGTGTGTCGCATGCAGCGCGCTGTGTGTCTCAGAAGAACGTACGGCCGCGGCGCTTGGTGTAGACTCGGACGAGGTCGAGGTACTCCCAGATGGCGGGCAGGAGGCCGTCCATGAGGTTGAGCTGCAGGCCGGCAGAGATCACGACCGAGTGGGGTCGCCTGGCGAGCTTGTCCACCTCCTCAATGGAGAGCTGATCGATCTTGTTGTACACCTGCGGTAGGTACAAAACACGGTGAACACATGCACCATCGCACCACCGCACGCACACCACCGCACGCAACACAAAGGAAGGATAGAGAGGGGTGCGTACGTAGAGGGCCTTGACGTAGTGGGCGCGGCCCACGATGACGTCGATGAGCTCGTCGATGGTGGCGTCGCACCTCATCAGAATCTCCGCGTTGTGAATCTCTGCGTTCCAACACAAGCCAGAGAGAAGTAAATAGAAATTCATAAACTACAATTAAAAATTAAAACAAAAACATAATCATTTCATAAATAATAATAAAATATAAAATATAAAATAAATAACGAATCGTACTGTATTCGTGCAGGATGAGCCTGCACACCTTCTCGTCGATGT